GCAGAACTCTTCGCTGGCAAACCTATAATGCCGGGAAGAACAGAGGTAGTTTACACATTAAAGGATGATTTAGGGAGTTGATTGGGGGGAGTGTGAGTTCTATTTGATTGAGTTTTATAATACTGACAAATACTAACAAACTATTTCTGTGTGAAATAATGGAGTCTGGCTCATTTGATTCCATTGATGCATTAAGAAATTATAGATAAGTCATAGTGGTTTCATCAATTAGTGCACATAAAAGGAAAATCTAAGTAGCTGCTTCTCGAGCATTCTCATAAAAAATCATCTAGATCTCCTCTGTGTCAATAGAATGGCATCTAATGCTGTTAGAGCTCTCAGCTTAGAGCCATGGGACAAAAATTGCATTCTTTTATATTCTGAGCTATCTACATATCTGCTGTTAAGGCATGAAATGTTTAGAATTTGGGCTTTAATTTTGGAAGTTCTGGTCTATGTTGCAGGTACATGATTTTTGTCATTTCTATTCTCTTCATATCTCATGCTTTGGGATTTTCCTCCTTCAAGTTTTGCGTGTATTTCAAAAACCTAGAGATCATATTTCAATTTATTTTCTTTGTGGTTCTGTCAAAATTTTGATGCTATGTGGCTTGGCTAAGTCTTAACTTTTCATATGCACATCTGCTTGGTTTTGATATCATGTAATCACATAATATATGTATTACATTACTAATATTTAGCTGTTATTTAAAGTTTGCATCCATAATCTTTTAAGTGTCTTGTTTTCATGCTCAAGTATTAGCCAAACAGAGTGTGGTCGCACCAGGCTCCTCTTAGCACTTGTGCAACCAGATCCTCTTTCCTTTGCTGAATTTTCTTCCTCATTTAGTAATTAATGTAGTGTCTTGAAGTTTCTAGTAGTTTTTCATTTGAACTGTCTTTAGGTAAAGTATATGCTTTTCTTAGCTACTATGATAATCTTATTGATATGATGATAATCTTATTGATATGATGTAAATACTTGATCATGTGAATTTTAGTTATAGATCCTTAACTATAAGAAGTCTGTATCTGGTAGAGGTTTGGAGTTGATGAAAAAGCTTAGAGGAAGCTGAAAGAACAAGAACAACCTAGAGTGGGGATAGGATTGTGAGTATGTTTAAGAACGTTATGGCAAGAGTAAGTCGAATGATGCTTCATGGCGTTGAATGAAGCTAACTACATGTAAGTGTAGTCAGTGTAGTCGGCTAAGGCATGCTGAAGATTACAAGAATATCTTTGAAATGGAGATATATGTGACGCTGTTTTAAGGATCTGTGGAGATGACAGCATATTAAATTTGTTGGTTTGTTATGTAGCATGGATTTGGTTAGATTCAATAAGAGTGTGAGCAAGTCTAGTTTAGAAGGCTGTTCTGCTATGCTACTGAGTTGCAGAAATGTGGAGAGGTCTACTTTATGAAGTGATTGGTCAATAATAGTATCAGTGCTTTCTGAACTCGAAACGAAGACAGATAAGTTAAAGAAAAATTTTAGGCATATCCCAAATAGAATTTCACAAGCAGTCTGCTGAGTTAGAATACATCTGGTTCTGTTTTATCTATAAAAGATAACATAAATTTTACTTGAGATTGTTTAGTGAGCTGTAGGATTAACTGACTTGATGTTCATGATTGTATAGGACAACTTTGTCTCCTGATTTGTGTACTGCTCTGGATTTGAAGGTTTAACTTTTCTCATCTGGTTTCTTTGTCTCTGTGCTTGTCGATCCTTTTCAGTTATGAGTTTAGCGCAGGATTTGTTGGTTTGTGAATGACTTGAATTTGGTTAAACATTTTAACCTTCTTATTTTTGTGTGCAGGTGGAACAGCTGCATAAAATATTTAAACTTTGTGGCTCACCATCTGAGGAATATTGGAAGAAGTCTAAACTGCCACATGCTACAATTTTTAAACCTCAACATCCTTACAAGCGTTCTGTGGGTGAGACATTCAAGGATTTTCCACCTTCAGCATTGACACTTCTAGATTCTCTTCTTGCTTTTGAACCTGAGCGTCGGGGATCTGCAACTTCTGCACTTGAAAGTGAGGTAATTCAAAATTCTTTTGTTTTATGCTCTTTTGGTACGCAATTCCTTTTCTTCCTAAAAATTTAATTTTTCCTGTTGCTTGGGAATGTTCACATCGGTGCATTTAATTCTCTCTCCTTTCTAGGCTTAAGCACAAATTGATGCATTAATTTTTTTAAATGCTCTCTTAGCATCTGATTACAGCACTAATCTTTTATAATTTGATGGCCTACACTCTTTACCTTTACACTGGACTTAATTTCCAAGAAGAAAAGTATCTGGTTGGATTATAGTTTTAGAGATTATTGTGCAACTTACTTGATAATGGCAGTCATAACTATGAAGATCCTGCATACTTTTCTATGCTGTCATTTAGGTGATTACCCACATCAAGTAGTATTTAGGTTTCGGGGATTGCAGTGCGAGACACAGAATTCCTTTATTCACTTGGATGAATAATTTCCCTCTATTGTTTTCAAAAAGTTACCTCCTCATATTGAAGCATTTTTACAGTTCTTCACAACAAAGCCTCTTCCTTGTGCGCCCTCAAGTTTGCCAAAGTATCCACCAAGCAAAGAATTTGATGCTAAGATTCGAGATGAAGAAGCTAGAAGGTAAATAATTTTTAAATGTATTTCTGTACTACTTTGATCGGAGTACTTTGGGTTCTTTTACTAACATTTCAGTCACTGTATTTGTAAATCTGCAATCAGTCGTTACAGTTTTACAATTGTTTTTGTACTTCAGAATTTGACATTCGTACAGTAGCATGTCTACAAGATTTGTGATGCATGTTTTCAACTAGCTAGAGTATATTTTGATCTGGGCTGTGTAGCATGTAGTTCACTTAAAAGATGAATAGGATTTCCTTCTTTGTGTTTTTATTCTTTTAACCAATCATGGATTGTGAACCAACTGAAGATCATTTCCTTTTTGTTTTCAGAATAAATATCTGATCATCAAGGATTTCATTCTCTATTGTTTCTGTAAGAACTACATATGTGGATTTAGCTTGTTCTAAATTATAAATTTGTTATTTTCATGATATCAGGCAAAAAGCTGCTGGCAGTAAAGGACGCGGGATTGAATCTTACAGAAAAGGTTCCAAAGAATCCAAAGCTGTCCCAGCACCGGATGCTAATGCTGAGCTGCTGACATCCATGCAGGTATTTCTGGATTACTTAAGACAATTATCACAAATATGTAAACCTATATTGTTAGACCATGAGTATGAATGCCTCGAGATGTCTTAGGTTCTGTATAATATACTGATCAATCTAAATTTTCTTGAATCCAGAAATGGCAGGCGCAATCGAACCCCAAAAGCATTAGTGAGAAGTATAATCATGAAGAAGATGGTGGTTCTGGCTTCCCAATTGAACCATCCAGACCATCTTTAAATAAAGGTTATTTGTTGCAAAATGGTGCTTCAAGAAGTTCCTTAAATATGGACGTAAATGAAGCCGGGTCCAACATTAATTGTTCAAGGTATGGTGCAGAGTCTAGAATGCAAATACCAAACAAATCCCAAGGAACGGCTGCAAAGTTGTCTAGGTTCTCCAACTCAGTTGCAGCTCATGGCAGTTCTCACCTTGATCTTAGTGGAGAGGGTAGTACCCATCCTCAATGGATGGAGGAGCGTCTAAATGATTCTGGTTCAACATGCCATCTGCTGGGAGGGACGAGTTCGTCGCACAACAAGGATGAACAGGCATACAGAAAGGAATTTAATGGGGTAAGGGTGTAAAAATACTTGTTAGTATCTTTCTATTTTCCGTTTTCAATATTTAGAAATTTTCCTGCTGGGCTTGGCGACGTGATCAGTGATATCTTTCGGTTAACTTAAAAGAGTTCTATGACTGCCACTTCCAGGCACATACTCATAGCAATGCAGAGACATAAACTAAGACCCAGACACCTTCTTCCCTGGGGCCCCTTCCATTCACTGAAAAGCCAAAATGAAATTATTTTTGAATTTGCTTGTTTTGGTTCTTACATCAGGGTTACGCTCTGAAGAAGTCGAGGATTCACTACTCTGGACCATTGCTTCCCCCTGGAGGAAATATTGAGGAAATGCTCAAAGAACATGAGAAACAAATACAAAATGCAGTTCGGAAAGCTCGTATTGACAAAAATAAGAACACAAAAACCTATGCTGATAATGGACAGACAGAATTGTTGCTGCAGTATGTAGGGAATGGCCGGTGACCTTGTGAGGAATTTCCTGCTACCTATGGATTGAATCCTGTTTCATGATAGAACGCCTTGAGTTCGCGAGTCTACTGCTTCAGAGATTAAGCAAACCTCATCAGCATGAGAGGAAAAATGTCATTGGGCTATCTGGGATTGAAATGCATTAGCGACTCGACATTCCAGACCTACCTTTGAAAGCAGCACATGATGGGAAGAAATTGGGTAGCCTGGAAAAGAAAAAAAAAATCACCCAAAATGATGGGTCTCACTATGAAAGAAAATGACAAGCAACTTCATGCTTGTTGGATGGGGAGGAAATCATTCCTGATGGTGTATGGTAGTTAGTGACAATCTTTTGTACAGTTTTACCATGTTCTTTTTCTTTTGTTTATTGTAATGGCGAAGCCATTCATGCACATATGTAAAATTTTGACACCCCAGGCCAGCATCGAGCTAATGAAAGAGAATCAGAGTTTTTTTGGATCACATGTAAGTTAGCAGAGAGAGTTGTTCTGTGAAGGAATGCTCAGAATCCTTTGTTGCTTTACTACAAATTGGGATCCAAGGCAAGTAGGAGTAAAATGGTAAAATGTAACCTGTTAATTTGGTTCTCAACGTGAATGGTAACAGACTGTGGGGCTATAACTATAAGAGGAAGTGTTAACCAGCTATTGGTCCATGCAATGACAATATCTAAACCATGGATTTAAAAAATGCTTCCTGCAATCCAATGTTTTTACCGAGGCAAGGAGATAATTAGTTTCAAAGTTTCAGGGCTTCCTGCAATCCAATAGTTTCAGGGCTCTAGAGAATGGTTGTCAATTAATGTTACAGAATCCGTTCACCTAATCTTTTTGGCAGTCCCTAAACTCAGACATCCGATGTCCTTAAACAGGTGTAAAAGTATTGAATCACATCCATATCTGTATCTCGACCTGATCAACATCAAAGTACGTAGTAAAGGTCCATCACCATCCACTATTCCATACTGACACGAAAATCTCCACCAACTTAGCAGATCTACCAGCAACTATTTTGCTTCAATCAAAATCTTTGTAGTTTCTTTGTCTTCATCACTTCATTTCCAAGCATTACTACAGCTATCTAAATGTATAATGCTCTCTCTATCAATGCAACATGATGTACTACGTACACTATATTTCAGAAGCAAATATAGACCCTTACCACAGGACAGGATCTCCCTCTGCAGAGACTGAAAGTTTGATCATCAGCAAATCATGAGGCCTAAGACCCAAAATTCCCTTAACATAAAGCTTCTAACGCTTGGCGTTTTTATCGCTTTTTTCCTTCTCTTTGTCTTGAGATCAAGCTTTTCATCCTCCAATCAAAGTCCAATCCCAACTCTTCCAAGACCCTTGAGTGGTCCTTTGAAAGATGAGAAGGTTTCAAACTGTTCGCCGTCTTGCAACAAAATCCCGTCCACCTTAGCTCAAGCCATCATTCACTATTCAACCTCCTCCATCATTCCACAGCAAACGCTCAAAGAGATCTCAGTAACCTCCAAGATTTTGGAGAAGAAGTCCCCTTGTAATTTCCTTGTGTTCGGGCTAGGCCACGACAGCCTTATGTGGAGCGCGCTCAACTATGGTGGACGGACTATTTTCCTCGAAGAAGACGAGTCCTGGATCGAGCAAATTAAGAGAAGATTTCCAATGCTGGAGTCGTATCATGTTAGCTATGATAGCAAAGTGAATCAGGCAGATGAGCTGTTGGAGGTGGGCAAAGGGCCCGAGTGCACACCTGTTGCTGATCCCAGATACTCAATGTGCCAGCTTGCCTTAAAGGGCTTGCCTAGTGAAGTTTATGAGATAAAATGGGATTTGATCATGGTTGATGCTCCAACAGGTTACTATGACGAAGCTCCAGGGAGAATGACAGCCATATACACAGCCGGGATGATGGCGAGGAATCGAGAAGATGGAGTAACTGATGTTTTTGTGCATGACGTGAATAGAGATGTTGAAGATAAGTTCTCCAGGGCCTTCTTGTGTGATGCATACGTGAAGAAACAAGAAGGAAGGATAAGGCATTTTAGAATCCCAAGTTATAGGAGTAACTTGAACCAGCCCTTCTGCCCGTGATGATGCTTCTGGCATGGTTTTTGTGTACGAGAATCACGTTGTCATTGTTCCTTATAGGAAGCTCTCTTTCTTTCTTTTTTTCTGCGGCAGGTATTTTGAGACTTGATACTGATGCAAGATGCTCAGGACTTTCAACTTTTAGTTTGTCGTTTCATTGATGAGGGAAAGCAAAAGAAAAATAAAGGTACTAAAGACAACATGGCTTTGTGCAGAAATAAAGACAACATTGGATACTGATTCTATTTTCTGCCCGAAATAGATAAAACTGAGACCGACCAATGAACCAAAGCGGACACAGAAAACAAGATACAGTAGTATCAATATGTTGTCTTCTTTGCCAATATCATCAACTCTTTGCTGCACGACTAAGTAGTTTGGAAACTTGCTGTTCTAACATTATTAATTCTTCCATCCATGTATATATATATAGCCCACAAATTGACAAAATTGCACGAAGCAAGCTCGTGTCTGGGCAAAAATGCCAAACTCGCTACCCTGGCTAGGCTGCGCTCTTTTTTTTTTTTTTTTTCATGCAAAACCAATCTATTAAGCCAAATTTGAATAGCTTCAGTTTTCATTTCATTGTTTACTTTGTTTGATCTCATTTGACGCACTTGTTAGAAACATCAAACAATAATAAGTTTGGGTTTCATTTTCACTCGATACAAGCTTGCTCGACAATCCGCTTTTAATACTTTATTAGTAGTAGACGGTCCAATTTTAATCAGAAGTTACCTTTTTGTTTTTATCTCGTACGAATAATATAACAAGTCTGAATTTAACAAAAACTCATGATTCAATCTTTAGTGCGAGTATGCAAAAATGTTATAGCACGTTGCTCAAATTGTTCGAAAATCAATTACTTTTGATATTTATTTTTTTGATGACAAGAGTTTAGTACAAATAAGTTACTAATGAATAGTTAAGGGGTAAAGTACAAATTGGTGATAGTTCATGAGCGTATATCGCAATTAATTCTAAAAAGTGGGTTGAAGTTGGAATTACACAAGTTGGAAAACGAGAAAAAAATAAGCCTTCAATTCACTGCCGCTGTAGTCTTTATTTATCCCACAAGTACCCCACTTAGCACTCAACTACTCTACTCTCTCTCCCCTTTCCTTTCTTTCTTCTTCTGCTGCTGTTCGGCAAAAAAGAAACCTTTTGATTTCGGCAAAGAAGATTTCACGAATTTAGAAGAAATGAGTAACGAGTAGTAAGATTTCATCATTCCATACCGCCTTTTCCTAAATTTCTTCTTCAATTTTTGCTTGTTTTGGTATGTATTGCTTTTGTTAACTGTTAATCTGATTTTCCTGTTGTTTGTTAAAAGCGATTATTTGTTCAAGCTACTTCTAATCGGCGACTCATCTGTCGGCAAATCTTGTCTTCTTCTCCGATTCGCTGTATGTTCGCTTCATCTATACTATAAACTGTATGCTCATCTTTAGTACATTTTGTTGGGTGTATTATGGTTGTTGACGGTCATTTCTTATAATATTCATATTTTTCTTTAAAGGTTAATTGATGAAGTAGTAAGTTATGAAGTAAAGAGAGCTGTATTTTCGGTGGAAGTTATTACGATATTTGTTGGTGATTTCAGGATGACTCTTACGTGGATAGTTACATCAGCACTATCGGAGTTGATTTTGTAAGTTCTTTAGTTTGTGACTCGTGGTGTTACATAGTTTGCAACTATTTATTTAGTGATGATTAGGTAACATAAATCTTTTTAAACTTTTGCAGAAAATTAGGACTGTGGAGCTGGATGGAAAGACAATCAAGCTGCAAATTGTGAGTGAATCTATTCTTTTTTTATGTTTCTACTACACTCATGAGCTCTGTTGTTTGGATTATTACTTACTAGGAAAAAAATTGGCTAGTTGCATATGATGAATTAAGATATGACCTTCAAGATTCTTTAGGGAATTGATTGTTCCATGCATTAGATAGTGCATTTCCTTCATTTGTGTTTTGATTTATTTTTGTTATGAGAGGCGAGCTTAGGCGACCCTAAATACTAGGATAGGGTGCAACGAGGCTTTTGTTCTTTTTGTTTATTTTGAACAAGGGGCTTTTGATGGTTGAGTTGATTTTAGTGGCCTGAGGGTTATAGTTGCTGCAAAGAAGCAAGTTGGAAAGAAATGCAAATGAGCTATTAGCAGAGTGATGATGCATGAATAGATTGTAGGTTTTTTTTTGGGGGGGGGGGGTGTGTGTGTGTGTGTGTGTGTATGCGTGCGGGGAGTCGAGTTCAAGTGCAGATGATATATTACTGATGACTCTGTAACTTGCCTCTTCAGTGGGATACTGCTGGCCAGGAGCGTTTCAGGACTATAACCAGCAGCTACTATCGTGGAGCTCATGGAATAATAGTAAGGAATATCATTTTACAGCTTTATTTGGCTCAATATTTTCTGAATTTTGTACTCTTAGGAAGGCAATGCTTATGCCTTGATATGTAGTTGGCTAATAGTTAAATTTTTTTTTTTTTAATAAACATGCACTTTGCTGCTTTCAGATGTCAGCTCTATGTTCTGCATGTAGCAACTGTTTTTGTTCTTTTATGAGATATTTAGGATTTTGGATTTTGGATTTTGGATGCTTTGGATCTGTTTCTGTGGCCTGGATATGTTCATTTTCCTCTCATAGATGTTTACTATATGTTAATTACTTTGGCAAACATGCTATCTACATGGATTGCCGGTCAACTGGTCCAGGTATCTTGTTCCATCAAATTTTTTTAAAATGAGCTTGTTTGAGCATGCAAAGGTCGTAAGAGATGTCTGACTTTTGAGTATATTGTGCTAGGGACTGTAAGACTTTGATATAGTTTTAATTATGTTGTCAATATCGACATTGAGTTGACAAACTCAATTTCCATGACCTATAGAGTCAGTGTATATGCCTACTACATATCCTTTTATTCCTTGGATTTTTTGGATAACTTTTTAAGGGGAAACTCTCCAACATTAGGCAGCACAAGAATATGAATTGGGACTTACAGCTGACACTGTGTTGGACTGCAGCATGAGTAACATATGTATTTTCTGGTTGATTGTTGTGAAAAGGTTTAAGGAAGAGGTTACTAAACTTTTTGGAATGCTTTTATGGCAAAAAAGAATGCTTAGAACTGGGGAGATGTAGGTCAAAGCCTTGGAGTTTCTTCATCGGCCTTCTTATTTATTCACTTGGAGTACGCTTTTTGTCCTGTTAATATTTTTTCTTTTGGCATGAAACTTTGCATGTTTAGGTATGTTATACTTGAACTAGATTTTCTCCAGTATATTGGTCCGTGGTGACATCCTTGAATCTTTCTTTTAATACATACTGCTATCATCAATATTCTAGAACTCGTCTTAAATCGACCTGTCTATGTAGATTACGCAAAACTTTTTATTCTCAAAAAGTTGAAATTGCTCACCGGCAAGCAAGGTGTAGTTTGTTAAACTATTGAAATAATTTGAAAATCAAATGTCTTATATTTCCATTGGAATTTTACCCATCGATAAATTAACATCGCTCCTCACCAGCTCTAACTAGTTGCATTGGAATCGTGAACTAAAATTTCTTAACAAGTTGGTGTTCTGAGATTAACATTCTTTTTAGATTTAATGTCATTTTTCTTCAGCCACCGAGAATTAACTTTTCATTTTTATGTTGTTTGACACCAAAAGAAAAATGTTGAATTTTGATCGTACTTGCAGGAATATCTAAATCCAGAACTTTGCTTATTTTTGGGATTTGTCTTGAAATGAGGGAAGGGACTGTTGGATCATGGACAAGTAATGAAGGGTTGCACATCCTTTTTGTTAATGGACATAAAATAATCAGTTCTCACGAATAATTAAATTCCCATCTCAATTTTCTTAAAGCAAATCAGCCCTTACTGTGTTTTGTTTTATGGTATTTGTATTATGGCCTTCTTTTGGTTCCTTTTTGGCTCTTACACACTTTTAAATTGCAACAGATTGTGTATGATGTAACGGAGATGGAAAGCTTCAACAACGTTAAGCAGTGGTTGAATGAGATTGATAGATACGCTAATGATAGCGTGTGCAAGCTTCTGGTGGGGAACAAATGCGATTTAGTTGAGAACAAGGTTGTTGATACCCAGACTGCAAAGGTATATGTGTAATTTTTCTATTCTGAACTATTTGATCGCTTATATCTTTTCGGAGTTGCTTAGTGCACACATTGCGGTACTTGGATTTCAATCTTCATATTATGTCCTAAAAAATAAATAAGGGCGGTCTGGGGAAGGAAAATCTGACAAACCAGAAAACTTGTGACAAACACACTACATGTTAGTCTTATACTTCAAGATTTTGTACGTGGCTGTTATATTTCTTTTTTGTTTGAAAGAATGGGTGCATTGACCTTGCTGACCTGCAGCAGAATGATTTGACCTGTCAGAGATGCACATTTTCAGCATCTACTTGAACAACACCATACTGATAAACCAGTCTCATTTGATGGTATTTGCTGACCGTTTGCCCTGCTACTACTGCTGAATGTACATCTGTCCTAGATAATGGATGGTCTAAGCCTTTGTAAAACGTTACATTTTGCCATATTACAACACACATGCAGATGTTGGTCCAGGGTTTGATGTGATGGACTGATTTGAAATTTAGAAAAGAAATTTACATTTTGGTTTTTTTGTGTGCTCTAAAAATTGCGAGCTTAGTTTATGCTCTGCTTGTTTATAATAATTTTCTTTTAATGTCGTCTAATTCAAATGTCTGTATTGGCTGGAGTGAATCTCAGGCATTTGCAGATGAGCTTGGGATCCCTTTTCTTGAGACCAGTGCGAAGGATTCTATTAATGTGGAGCAGGCTTTCTTAACTATGGCTAGCGAGATTAAGAAAAAGTAATGCAACTGAATACTACCGGTGCTTTTGTAGATTCATTGACTTGAAATAGTGTTAAGTTGTCATTGTTACAGTTGATTTGCTTTTATCATCTGTTCTGATAGTTGAATTTTTTTTGCAGAATGGGTAACCAGCCATCCGCAAGCAAGAAGGCAACAAGCACTGTTCAGATTAAGGGGCAGCCAATTGAGCAGAAAAGCAACTGTTGTGGTTAACTGTACATGTGACTGTAGTTCTTTAATGCAATCTAGCAGAAAAATGTTTAAAAAAAATGCTAAACCTTCTTCTTGTGTAGACTGTTGACCTCGTTAATCTTCTAATGTGCTTATAAGTTAATGCCAATTGTATTTTGTGGATTTAAGAGGAAGAAGGTCTGTACTTCTTGTTTATTGGACGGCCTTTTCTTTCTTTGTTATACATATCGTTCTTATTTTGTCTACCAATTCTTCTCTTTTTAGAGTCTCTTTTATTAACATTTTTTACTGGTAGATTCATAGAAATTATGTTTGTCATGATTATTTGTGTGAAGCTGGTGTGGTGAGATGCTCTATTGTCTGTTTTTGTGAAGTCAGAAGGCACATTGTCAAACAATTCTTTTCCATACTTATTATGTGGG